AGAAATCTAGTGGAGACGGACAAAGCTTGTATTGCAAAGTTGGTTTGGTGCATAAAAAGAGGGGATAACACACTCTGGTGTGCAGTTATGCGAGGAAAATACACATATCAGAGGTATATAAACAATAAAGTTATTGCTAACCCATATGATTATAGCTTGCGGAAACACATAGTGAACATATGGCCAATTCTTGTTGACATGTCCTTTTGGGAAGTTAGAAATGACAATAAGATCAAAGCTTGTGAAGATGTTTGGGCCGAGCCTAACTCAAGCTTTAAGATGTAATGATCCAGCCTAATAAATATATAAGGATAACAACAGTTGCAAAATTAACTATTATAGAAGGGGACTATATTTAGGAGCTACCGATGGGACACTACAGTCAAGATACTCTGGCTAAAATTCAAGCAATCCTGCCTCGAGCAATAATGTTTATGCATAAGATACTTGTATTTGGGGAGGCACGACTAATGGAATGTTTGCCATATCAACTGCTTTTGACATAATTAGTACTCATAACATACGGAACATGAAGGATCAATGGAAAGTTATATGGAAGCTAAATGTTTCATAGAGAATACATGTGTTCATTTGGATGATTTATCAAAATGACATTAAAACCAATTCTTATTTGAATCATTTAAAAATACGAGATAACTCTTGTGAGGATTGTGCTGGAACAATTGAAACTATTTTACATGCTCTAAGTGATTGTAAAGCAGCCAAACAAATTTGGATACAATTGGTGAGTAATGTTAGTAAGTAGCAATTTTTCAAACTAAATTGCAAGACTGGCTAGAGATGAAAATGTTCCATAATCAAAGTAGAGGTGACGGAGACTGGAAAGCCTTCTGGGCCACTACATGCTACAACATTTGATATTGGCAAAATTAAAGGGCACATGCACCCACTTATGTCATGCCACTTAATTTTGCCCAGGTTATCTAGGAAAATGTTCAACTGTATGATATGAGCCTAAGGCTGCAAAACAAAGTTAACAAAAGAACTTATGTCTAAATTACTATCCACTAGAAGCCACCTGATTTAGATTTGGGTTGTCTCAATTCGGATGGATATGTGAAACTTGGAAAGTATGCAGGTTGCAGGGGAGTGTATAAAGATCATCATAGCAATTAGATTGATGGTTACGCGATGAATCTAGGATTATGCCTCAGTCAGGCAACTAAACAATGGGATGTGTACATAGACTTGAAAGTTGTTATAGTTATAGGATATAATACGATAATAATGCATGTTGACAAAAAGAAGGTCTTTGAAGCTCTTTCCAAGAGCTATGTGGAGAAAGAAACATGGTTAAATTTGATAAGACGACCCCAACAAATTATGAGCAGTATTAAAGACAATCAAATGAAGTTGATATACTAGGAAGCAAACAAATGCGTCGACATTCTCGTTAAAGAAGGAACACATTTGAGAGGGGTTTACAAGTGTATAAAGAGTGTCCCAAAAATATTTTTAGTTGTTTAGTAGAGGATTTGAGAGAATCCTTTACTAGGAGGATCATCCTATTATAATTTTCTGTTTGGACACTGGCCTTTCATATTAAAAAAAAGAAGCAAAAAAAAAAGAATTAGATTTGTGTCAACTTGATTCTTATAATGAGAGAGTTATAACATAAAACCAAAAAGTTACAACACAAAAGTGGAAAAGAAAATTAGGAAAATATAATAAGGAAAGGATGTTTATGAAAATGTAGATGAAGATTGGAGCAAAGATGAAAGCAAGATGAATGAGATTTGAGCAGTTGAAATGTTGAAAGAGTTGTATGAATCTTCAATGAAGAAGAACAAGAAATTGCAAATGAAGACGAAGTTAAAGGCATTTTCTGGAAAATTGAAGTCGATATGTCTTGTAATTTGGTTTATTAAAGTGTACTCGTTATTGAAATGTAAATGTTGAGGAATATATTGAACTGTATTGTTGTTGAAATATTATTTCAATATTTTTCTAATTATGTAATTTTGTCGAAACGTTGTTCAAATATTAACAATTGATTGTCCCTACCATTCAAGACATTATGCTCTTCTTAAACTATTTTAATGAATAAAGCTTTATTTCAACCTTAAAAGTAAAATCCTTACTAAGAGCATCTTCTTCATTGAACCTAATTACTACAGGCCTATCATCACAATTGTCATCATCTGCCCCAATATTAAGTTTATCAACATATAGTTTTCTTCAATGTCATGTTCCCTACCTATCTCTTGTGTGATAAATATATTATCGGATGGTTCACTTCGGGTCTCACCATCAACAACATGTATAGTTATAGGTTCACCATCAACCCTTCATCAAGCCCTTTCATTCTCTCGTCCTCACTATCATCAAAATGTACACCCTTCACAAATTCATCACTATAATCCCCACTATATTCACTAGAATTATCAACCCCTTCATCATATTTCTTCCAATTTCTTTCTCTCTAAACTTATCCATAAAGGTGGCATCTACTATATCTGGTTTTGGCTCAGTAAATATCTTAACTTCGCAATTATTTCCAAATGTAAACATAGTTAACTCAGATGCATTTCCATTATCCCTAAAGGGTTTTAAATCTTCATCCAAACTACCACATCATGTTTTCACCATATTCTCATAGCCCAACACCAAACTCTAAATCAATCCCCTTGATTAAGTCACATGCTTCAAAGTAAGACCAATGATTCAGATCTTGACCACTATATAAACTTCCCCACCATCATAACTTAAGTTATGGTATTTTATAAAATAACTCTTGGTGTAAAACACAACCTTAAATTTACCAATGTCCTATACAATTAATTCACTTAGGTCAATTTTTTTCAAATTAGATCAAATACGGTATGCAGTAGAAATACTACCTAGGTACAAATACAATTCAACCCAAAACATATGACATTCAGTAAAAATACAAGTAAAATGATGGATAAAGAAACCCTAACATACTGAATAAACAAAGCGACAAACCTGAAAAACCACAATATGACCGCTAGTTATTCTTTGGAAGATGCAAAAAGTTGGGACCACAAGCTTCCTTTCAACTGGAAGGGACAAATGCACCAACAAGATTTCAACTGGAAGGAACCGTAAGATCTGGGACCACACAAATGTATAAGAAGACATTTTATAGGGTTTGACTTTCGAAAGAAAATGATAGAATGGGTTAAGATGTTTTTTATTTCTATTTATTTATTTAACGCTATAAGAAAATCATCCACGTTGGCAAATAATCCATGTTGGCAAATTGAACAAGTTCCACATAAGTCTCAATTAGTAGAAACTAACGGGAGAGACTAAATTTATGGACGGAAAAATTTAGGAGGAGCATTGTTTGAAGAAAAATTTTAAAGGGACTAAAATTGAATGTTGAACTATTTATAAGGACTAAAAATATATTTAACTCATCTGAATATTAGTGAGCAATTTTATGATTATATTGCAAGGAAATAATGCAAACATGTGACAAGTGCCAAAGATTTGCTGATCAAACTCATCAACCATATGAAGCGGTATACCGGGTCGTGATGACATGGACATTTAATACTTGGGGGCAAGACATTCCTAGACATTCCCCACCGACCTTAAACCGCCTAAAATTTATTATTGTTGCAATATATAATTTTTTCTAAATGGGCAGAGGTCAAATCTCCAACTATCATTACTGTTGAAACGATGCTAAAGTTCATATGAAAGAATATTGTTTTTCAACGCGGTCTCACACACTCTACCACCAAAGATAACAAGATCCGATTCACAAGATGAATGTCCATTGACTTGTTTAACGACCTTGGCATAAAATTAAAGTTTTCCTTCGTGGGATTCTTAGACACACAAACAAGTTAAATCAATTAACGTTGTGCATATAGGATTCTCATCAAGATGAAGATGGACAAATCAGTATGGACTAAGCATCAGATATTTAGGAATAATGGTTGTGTTGAAGAATTATCATCATTATTTGATTGATTGTCAGAACCTACGGAAGGATATTATGACGTTGATTTAAGAGTTTGTGTTGAAATAAGGATAATTTAATACATAACAAAAACAAAAGAAAAAAGAAATATTAGGTTTGTATTAACTTGATTCTTATAATGTGATAGTTAAAACATAAAAGCAGAAAGTTATAACACAAAAAATAGAAAAAAAAAGCAGAAAAGTACAACAAATAACTAATAACAAACTAATAAATCATAATCCTAGTTATTATTAGGTGATACATTCTTACCTAATAAAACCCATCTTCAACCGATTAAATAAAAGATTGAGAATGAGTCGATGACACATGACACTACGCCCCAATCATCAACAATAACTGATATCACAAAATTATCTTTTAAATAAAAATCTTAATCATATCATAAGACTCTTTCATCTTAAAAAACTCCTATAAAAATCTTCAAAATCTTACATCTACCAAAATGAAATTAAAATTTTTTTTTCTTCAAAAAACAATTAATATAGATAAGAATACAAGAGATATTCAACCCATACAACAACTAAAAAAAAAGAAAGTAAAATTCCTTATCAATACTATTCTAAAACAAACACCTAAAAAAGAATTTATAAATAAAACATGAAAATTAGAGTTGAAATGAGGAATATCCCCTCTACAACTCCATTTTCAAACATAAAATTTTAATACTCAAAATGGCCAAAGGAGAAAAAAACGATTCCTTGTGGGTAAAATTGTAATTGACATAAAGCGTGGGATGATGTAGTAAATCCTAAATCGTGCTGTTCAATTAGGGCATATTCAAGTAGGCTCTGAACCCAACCAACCAAACCACAGCTTCGTTGTTTTGTGCAGTCAGTCCGAACTCGAATTCTCGGCTCCACACAGCAGCGTTCAGAATCAAAACCTATCCATTTCCAACCGCTTATTTATCTTTATGCTCCGATTCGTGCCCTAAACTAAACCTAAGTGTTGCTCTCGAATTTGCCACCACAATCTCCGCCACAAACTATCTTCTCCGTTCAGAATCTCTCGCCGGTTGAAGATGTCGGGCGGTTTCTTTCGAGTAAGCTTATGGCTAACTGTTGAATTTGTAATTACAGTTTTCAATTTCCTTTTGTTGAATTTGTAATTACAATTTTCAATTTCCTTTTGTATTCAACCGAAGCTAGGTTATCTCATCATTTCTCAGATCTTCGATGTTATAATCCTTAGGGCTACTTTAATTTTGAATATTATGAAAATATATGTATTATTTAGGGTTCAAAACTCTGAATATTTGTTGCTTAGTAAACTGTTCCGCGCTTGCATGTACTGTAATTGTATTGATTCTCAAACATAAATTGAATAACAGAGTTGTGTTGTAATTCAGTTTGTTATAGTGTGCTGTTTATAATCGATGTGTATCAATAGCACTCTATTTTTTTGGGTCTGTTTTTGAATTTTTTATATCCATAATTGCAAAAAGTCAATTAGCTTATGTTATGCATTTTTAATTTTGGATTTAGGGTACATCTGCGGATCAAGACACCCGATTTTCGAACAAGCAAGCGAAGCTGCTTAAATCGCAGAAGTTTGCACCAGAATTGGAGAATCTGGTTTGTTTCCTTGAGTAAATCTAAAAATTATTTCAACTGTTTTAGCTAATCTGGAACCACAATCATTATGGTGTAAAAGAGATATATTTATCGCTGCCTTCCTCTCTGCGTCTTTTTGTTTCAATGTAAGCCATGCTTGAAAAATGATTTGTAGGTGGACATGACGAAGGTGAATATGGAAGTAATGAGGCCTTGGATCACCAGAAAAGTGACTGAGCTTCTTGGGTTTGAAGATGAAGTGCTTATTAACTTCATACACGGTCTTCTGGATGCGAAGGTAATTTATTGTTTTTGAATTATTTTGGTTATATGGTAATCTTGGAATTCATGGTGCTTTCAGCATTCTGTATTTGATTTGCTAGATCTAAACATTAGTTTGTTTCTTTATTATTGGATTTGTTGAAATCTATATTCTATAATACTTTATTCTTACACCTATATGCTTTTAGGTTGAGTTGTAACTGTGCTATCTTTTTCTCTTAATGAACTATCATTGATTTACATGCACATTTTGATAGTGCAATACCTTGATTTTTTACCTTCATGCCACATTCTGTTTGTTATGATGCAGAAAGTGAACGGGAAGGAAGTTCAAATACAAATTACTGGATTCATGGAAAAAAACACTGGTAAGTTCATGAAAGAACTCTGGACACTTCTTCTCAGCGCCCAGAAAAATGCCAGTGGTGTTCCTCAGCAGTTCTTGGATGCTAAAGAAGAAGAACTCCTGAAAAAGAAGGTTCTTTTGAGTCTTGATTTACCATTCATTGGGTATAACAATACCTTTTATCCTTAAGTTTATTTGAGGATGTGTGAATAAATTTGCTTCCTGTGAATGGATTAGGCTGAAAATGATAGAATATCAACTGAAATTCAGAGGAAGAAAGATAAGGAAAGCAAAGAGATCATGGAGGAGAGGCTGAAGAAACTGGTAATACTATTTGTTCGTTGCTGGATTAGATTTTCTAGGGCTGAGATTTTGGTTTTAACTTCCGTTTGTGCTTTCGTTGCGTTCAGCTAGCTTCTGCAATTATTTGGGTTCATGTCCTTTACCTCAAACTACTGTAGGACGGAGGATTAGATGCAAAGGAAAATGATACTGCTTCAGATCCAACTTTGAAGCTCAGGGACTTGGAGAACTATGTTCAGGATGGGAAAGAAACTGACAAGAGGAATGGTGTTAGAGTAAGGAACAGGTAAAGTAGGTCAATTCCTTATTTTTAATCATTATTGTGTTGATGCTTGTCTCCTTTGCATTTTCTATTTAGTTTCACAGTGGGTTCCAATATCAATATATATGCTAAACAAAGTTTTCATTTTCTTAAAGTGGGTGGACTTGTGTTATGCTTTTATAAAGTTAGACATGGTGGAAATGGCTAGGCATCATTCTAGCAGTGGATCTAGAATCCTAACAGTACATGCATAACTAAAAATGTTTGTTGCATCTTACTTTGGCCATCTGGTAGGTATTATATCAACTTAACTAACAACAAATGGTTTATAGGACCTTCCCAAGACCCCGTATGAAATCCTTCAAGTGCAGAGTGCTCCTAACTTTCTTTGACAACCATAGAATTGCCTAAGCATCAGGAAAATTACCTGAAATTCGTGAATTGCCTGCATTATGAAGTCATTTGGATTCTTTGTTATTGCTTCATAATTGATGTTTTGAGTGTTCTATTAGATGTGGGAATAACCCCTGTTCAGTTTTCAAGTGATGCCATAAGCAGTAATTTCCAATTTTCTTTTAGCTTAATCTCTATTATTGTTTTGTTGTTGGGGTTTGGTGTTTGGGCAGAGAGTATGTTGGTGAACTTGGGCTCTGCACCTAGAACTTATTGAGTTCTGGAGTACTAATTTGCTTTTACTCTCTCTTCTGTGGTTTCTAGGTCCTCACATTCACCTGTAATTTCCAACTCGCCTTATCGGTACCACCATTTAATATCATACTATCTAATATATTTTCCATCTTTTATATTCGATTGAAATGCTATACCTGTGATATTTGATATCTTTGACAGAGGCTCACCTTCAAGGGCAAACAGTAAATCATTTTCAAATTCCCGAAGTTATTCAAGGTATCACTTGAAAACTGTTTCCTTTGGCTTGATTTGTTCATGTGGCTTTGGCCATTAATTAGTAATTTGATGGATATTAGATGTTCAATTTGGCCAACTAATGGGTTTTTATTTTGTTCTCCCCTCGCCCCTTTTAGCATTTATTAATGAGTAATATATTGCATATTGGATTTGTATTTGGATTTTTCATTTTGAATTAATGGGTCTATTTTGTTTACATGTCAAGGAGTATATCCAGATCACCGAAGGCCCGCGGAGGTTCAGTTTCTTCTGAAAGGATACAACGTTTTTCACGACGCCAGTCTGTTTCTCCCCGAAGGCGTTCACCCCAACGATCTCCCCACAGGAGGCTATCTTATTCAAGGAGAAGATCTAGATCTAGGTCAGACTCCAAATCTCCTTCTCCTATACGACGTGGGATGCATTCTCCAGTACGACGAGGCAGATCACCCTCTCCAGTACGAAGACGCAGATCACCCTCTCCAGTACGAAGACGCAGATCACCTTCTCCAGTACGAAGACGCAGATCACCACCCTCTCCAGTACGACGGCGCAGATCACCTTACCCTGCGCGTCGGCGCAGATCCCCCTCTCCTGTAAGACGACGCAGATCTCCCTCTCCTGTACGACGACGCAGATCTCCCTCTCCTGTACGACGACGCAGATCTCCCTCTCCTGTACGACAACGCAGATCACCTTCTCCTATGCGGCGTCGACGTAGATCACCTTCTCCAATGCACCTACGTAGATCCCCATTGCCTATTAGACGGAGGTCACCCTTGCCTATGCAACAGAGATCTCCTAACATGCGGCGTAGGTCACCTTCGCCGATGCGCCAAATGCCACCAAGCCGTAGTCAAAGGTCAAGCTCTCCAATGCATTCCCCCGAAATGCAAAGGCCTGATAGTCGAATTCCACGGCATAGGTCTCCATCTCCCTTGCGGTATAGGACACCTCTTTCTGGTAAGAAAAGAGATACAAGTGCCTCCCCTAAGAGGTCTTCTCAAGATGACTGGAGTTCTCAGTCTCCTGTTCGTGTATCTCCGTCTCCAGTCAAGAGAACTTTACCAAGACACCAAAGAAGTCCTGTGCAGTCTTCTATGGGAAGAGTCAGGTATAACGACACTTGAGGGGAGGCTCAAATTAGTTTGTTTGATTTTTTTCTTCTTCTTGGCGTGCATGCTTTTAGCTTTAAAAAGAAATATTTCAAAGTTTACTCTTTACTCTATTTTGAAGTAGACTATAATAAAACCAGAAATACTATAATGACTCTACTCCATATCCTGTATGGAGCTGTGAAGTTTTGCAGAATGATATTTTAAATTAGTTTTGTTCTTGCAAGGAAATTTATAAATACCCATGTCGCAGGGTGCAAAAAAAATTATCACCAGAAGTTTATGAACCCTCTAGCCCTTTGCAGTCTATACAGACAGATAAAAATGGCAAAGCTTCGGGCTATAGATCACAAGATTCAATGTCCACACCAGATAAGTCTCCAATTCAATCAATATCACCACAAGCAATAAGTAAGACTAGCAGTAAAAATAGAAGGTAATTTTCCATGGATTCTCATACAAAACCTTTATCTGCTCACTGTTGCATGCCTGCAGTAGTTAGCTTAAGCATATTAATTTGGCTTTTGAAAATGTTCAGTCCACATGAGATCCGTCTGATGCAAAGAGAGAAGTTGGTCAATGAAGGAAGTTTGAGTCCCCCAAAGAAGTCAACAAACCATAAACCTAGCCATGACATCCCAGAGACAAGTGAAGGAACAGAAGAAGCATATTATTCTAGGTTTGACTATGAATTGTATAACTTTCATTTACTTCTCTTAAATGCGAGAAATGGAAATCACTGTAATTGATTTGTTTATTGTTTTGCTCACATCTTTTTCTCTTCTTTTCTTTTTCCTACCTCTTTGTAGAGAGCTTAGAGATCCTAAATCAAATTCATCTGAAAAGAAATCAAGACACTCCCCGGTTAGTAAGAGAATAGGATCATCTGCAAAATTTAATGATGAGGATGAGTTTAATCTTGAAAGGGCAGCTAGTCATCTGGCTTCTGAGTATAATCATTATGATAGCAATGAAAGGAGTAAGAAAGGCCAGGATATTAAATGGTAATATGATTAACTTACCGCACCTGTTCTAACTAATATAAATGACTGTACGCCGTAAATCTCTGATTATTGGAAGCTCTTTTGGCAGTGATAAATCTTCTGGCAAGGGAAGTGAGTCTCCTGGTCAACAGAAGTCACCAATGAGCAAAGAAATTTTTTCTAGCAAGAAGCCTCGTGATTCTTATGATGCAGAAATAAGAAAAACTGATGACAAGGATCAATCCAACTCAAAGTTTGCCAAAAGTAGTGATCAGCACCACAAACCAGAAGCTACTCAAGATTTAGTTGGAAAAGTTGACCACATCAATCGGAGTGCTTCTTATGATTCTGAAGAAAGTAGTAAGCATAGAAGGGATGGAAAGGATAGAAGAAAGCATAAAAGGTCAGAGAAAAAAGCCGTCTCTTCCAATGAGAATGACAGTTATGATTCTGAGTTAGAGGACAGGAAAGAGGCCAAGAGGAGGAAAAAGGAAGAGAAGAAGAAGCTGCGAAAAGAGGAGAAGCACCGAAAGCGGGAAGAGAGAAGACGGAAAAGGGAAGAACGGCACGCTGGAAAGCTGAAAATGAAGAGTAAAACAGACACTATTTCAGAAGATGAGGAAGCTGAACGAAAGGATGGTCATCAAAATGATGATGAAGAAGCACCATATGATCCACAGAAGCTTGAGATCGAGCTACGAAATAAGGCTCTTGAAACCCTCAAAGCAAAGAGGGGCATGAACAATTAAATGCCACACTTCTGCATTTTAAGTTGTTTTATGCATTAAAAAACTTCTCCGGAAATATATGCTTAGCTTCTTTAAACACATGGTTTTGCAAATGTTATGTTATGTTGTTCTTTTGGTAAATGTTTGATGTGGTCTATCTTTAATGCTGGCAGCCGAATTGGATAAATGACGATTTCTGAGCATATCTGTTGAGTGCAACTCTATGCAGACATTCTTCTATATTTACCGGTAATACTTGTCTCCCCTTTTGTTGGGAATTTTGCATTTTTATGTTGGTGCATTTGTCTATTTCCTTGTGTTGTTTTAAGAGCTATATTTGTTTATGTTTTCGTGTTTGCCTTCTTTTATTTTTTCCCAAGTCTTTGAGGTGGTTGTTGGTATGTAGTTTCTTTTTTGGAGTAGATTGGCCCAAAGGTCTTGTGATATATTATTAATCATGAGGTTGATACTAAATTAGCTTTCTGGTCAATTGTTAGATGAATTTGTGTCAACTCTAGATGACCTGGTGAGCAGAACATGTGCAGACTTATATTTTGAACTTCAAATCAGGTGAAGTTTTATGTTTTATGGAATTCTCCAAGTTGGTCCATTTTGAAGTTGATGCTGCTGTATGTATTGTACATATGTGTTGTCATATATGTACTTTGGTTGTGTGCTAGAATAAATAAATATATTATATTTATCATTCTAGTGTGGTTATCTTATCTAATTGTTGCTTTGCAAAACAATTAGTATTTATATATGATTTCCATGCTTATTTGCACTTTTTTTTTCTTTATTGTGTTTACATGTTTATGCTGTTGTTACATTCATATTTTTAAAGTTTGACCTTTGTCACTAGGGCTGTTCATGGCGTGGGTTGACCTGAGAACCCGTTTATATAAATTGAACCAACCCCCTAATTATTTGAACTCGTTTGTTTATGGTATACCTGATCCAATTTGAATAACTTTGGTTTGGATATTGGAATTGAGTTTTTCAACTCGTGGATCCGATGTTCCAACCCGTTGATGTGTTAGTGATTTTATTTTTATTATCATTTTATATAAAAAGTATAAATGGTTTTTGACTACAAACTAATCTTTTGCCCTAGTTTTGTACTCACCACCAATATTTATAGTAGACCAAAACCCGACCAATAAATTTATGAAATTTTAATACTAGTTTGGTTTTTTATTTGTTTTTTATTTGTTTTTTATCATTTCTATCTTATGGTTTTTATAGAAATGACATGTATGACACAGATGAATTTTATTTGACATATGATGTGTTTAATCCAATTTATATTTAAAAAAATTGTACAATTGTATTGAGTTGTGCCATGTTTTTAGAAATATAAAAAGAATTTCAATATTTTTTTATATATAGTTTACATGCAAACTGTGAACTCAATTGTAAATGAATTCGATCTAACCTAATCTGTGCAAATTGACTTCTGATTTTAAGCATGTTCCTGAATCAATATGCCTATATGGCCTATATGATTCATTATGTTGTTGCTATTATACATTAGATTTTGTAACTATACTTCCATTTGATGGCTATACATACAAAAAATTTCAACTTGGTTTTGAAACGTAAGTATACGTTATGTTATTTAAAGATTATTGGCATTTGATAAAGTGAGTGTGTGACTAATAAGAAAGATGCATTTTATTTATTAAATTAGATTCGACTCTTTTCAAAGTGAATTGTTTTTTTAGAGTAAATCGTATGGAATTGTAAACATTGGTTGAAAAGATTTGATTTTAGTTCAATGGTTCATTCTATGTGTGCAATGTGGCTGTAATTTGTTTTACTCACAACATTAATTTTTTTTTAAATTCTCATTATCTTTTGGAATTACTACTATGTTAAGTGGTGAAAAAACATTATAAAATTTTTAAAATATCCTTTAAATTCTGGAGATTTTGGAGATGTGTTTTCATATGCACGCATTCTTTCGGTCAAAATATTAAAACTGAGTTTCATTTAATATATTTTTTTAAAATTTATTTTGGAGATGCATATCTAGAATAATTCAATATACACACCATGTATTCCTCATTGAAAAACTATTTTTTTGCCATAAATTGTTTAGGAGATGTATATCTTTATTCACACCATATAGAGTTCGGAGATGCATCTTTATAACTATACCATACAATAAATTTTAAGTTTGTTTTAGTGATGTTCAGATGAAATTGACGATATATTATATCTATATTATGATGAATTAGACCATACAACTAACATGAAGAGAATGACATAAATTAATAAATTCAGAGTACGCAATGAAACAATAAAGTCAAAATACGTTAAAATAAAATACAATTGATAATAAATCAATAGTACATATACTATAAACTATTGTATATGACGGATTTGGGACCCTTGTTCCTACGCTGTCAACACCATAATGGCATTTACAACGTCCTTGGCCTTAGAGCCATCCAGAAAGAGTCCTCTATCATAATGGCAATTTACAACGTCCTTGGCCTCAGAGCCATCTAAAAAGAGTTCTTTGTTAATACTTGCATGTCCAATTTCCACGAGATGACAACATCTAGGCAACACATCAACGTCCTTGGTGTTGAGTGGACTCTTTGATGAACTTGATGTTGATGAAAAACACTTTGAAGTTGGTTGAATGATTTTAAGAGAATGTGAGTTGAGAGAGTTTGAGAAACTTGAGAGGTTTATAAGGAACTATTTTTTAGAAGCGAGAAAGAAGAAAGGGTTTTGGAACATTTTTGATCAAATAACATCCAGTGATACATCTCCGTAATTTTAACAAAGATGTATTTTTGTCATTTTTTTCATTGCCTTAGGCCTGACTCAAGAATGTATTAAGTTGGGATGCATCCGGAGATATATCTCCGGAGTCTGAAGGTATTATTGTATTTTCACGAGGGTGTGGTAGTAATTCATATGGTGCGTTAAGTATTTCCCTTTTCTTTAATCGAGCAACAAAAAACACGGATTACTATTTGTAAGTATTTCCCTTTTCTTTAATCGAGCAACAAAAAACACGAATTACTATTTGTCTGCCGCTTACAGTTTACCCAATATGTAACTAGATTGCTCCAATACTCCACAAATAGAACGCTCTTAACTAAATATACTTTATCAATCTAATTCAAACACACCATAATCATAACTGTTATATAACTGTTATGTAATAACACGTTTGTTGTTGAGGATACAAACTCAATTGTAATATAAGCTTTTATGAGCTTAATATTATAGTTTTTTTGGATCAGTTTAATCTGTCTACAAGAAACTAAAAGAGGACGAGTGAAAAATGAAAGAATTAGACAATTTGAGATTTAACCTCAAGTACATTGGTAAATCTAGATTGAGAAGTAGAATGAAAATTAATGTATACAGTGAGTGAAAGAAGAATATTATGGATGTAAAATCGATAGAAGATCAAATTATAGTCCTTAAATTTGTAGTGGACTAAAATATCTTTAATGTCATTAGTACTTATATGTATCTCAGGTTAGGTTAGCAAAATACTTGAGGATTGTTTAATGCACCCCATGTGTTACTTCCACACTCGAGCGGAATTCCAAAAATAACCATTAATTTTGGATTTTAAAATACGACACACCTGAAATATGCAACATTCTTATAAAAATGTCATTTCTAATATTAAAAACAAATTCAAATTTTAAAATTCCGAATTTTCCCTAATATACTACTTATGATGCTTCACATGCAAAATGACTCCATACACTTCTTGAAATGCATACATATTCATAATGTTTTCATGCATTCTTCTCATATTATCACGCACTATCATCATCATTCACAATATCATGCCAAACGGCTACAAACTCCATCACAATCACCATGCATTTTTAATCAATTTAAAACAATGCATATATTTGTCGAAAGGCCACGATTCACAATCGATTCCATAATCTAGGGTTCACGCCATATGGCTACCCACAGCATATCATATAACAGTACACAACTATACGTTATAAGGATATATATCAGAATCGTCAACATTGGATGGAAGCAACAAAATAAAAGAAGTTGCTGTCACGTTCGCTGTCCTACTCGCCTAGCGAGGCCATAGTGAACATTCGCTACAGGCTCGCCTAGCGAACGTGCTAGCGAAGCCTGATCCTGAGCTACTGGTTGTGCTCGCTACTCACTTGCTGGGGCTTCGCCTAGCGAACCCCTCGCTACCCCACTCGCTACCAGCGAAGAGGATCATTTCCATTCTGTCCAAGTCTGGGACCGTTCGCTACTAGCTCGCTATAGCGAACAGTCGCGACCTGCTCGCCTAGCGAAGGTGCTAGCGAACGTCTGCGATGTTCAAAACCCCAACTGTCCAAAATCATCAAATCATCACCAAATCAACCGATTCAATTCCAACGACTTCCAGTAGTCTTAGCCTAACATTCCTCGACTACTCTACACCATTTATTCTCAATCTTAACCGTTAAAACATCGATTCTACCGATTAAATCCATTTATGACCTAGAATGGAAAAAGTGGAAAACCTCCAACAAATCCAAACACACAAATACATAATCATAAACATTGAGAAGATAATAACATTTCACACCCTTACCTTGATTAATCGGAAGCTAGAAGCCGTTCTGATGATTCCAAGCTTTTCCCCTTTTTCTCCTCTTTTCTCTTCTTCCTCTTTCTTTCCACTCTTCTTTCTCTTATGTTTTCCATTCCCTTTCCTTTCTCTCTACTTTTCCTTATATATCTTTCCCTTCTATTTCTCTCCAATATATTTCTTCTCTCAAAATATCTACCAATTTCTTTAAATAATCATCCAATAATTTCAATAAATCAATTAATTAACATAAATAATTAATTAATGAAAATTGGGCTGTTACAGAAGACGTCGGCCTGAGATTATTCTTTAGTCCAACCAAAAAAAGCGTCAAAAACACCGAATTACAAGAGTAAAGAGAAAAGATTGCGGTTGTTGAGAAGGAGTTAGAAGAACAGAGGAAGATGTTAGAAGTCGAGCGGGAAAATTGGAA